TACTTCTTTAAAGGAGTAATCTGTCAGGCTAATGGAGGATTTTTCCTTGTGAAATCAGTATCTTCCACTAAGTGAAAATTCTTATGGAGCATGAATGCTGAAATACTTAGTAAACTATAGTTAGGATTTCATGACTTTTGGAGAAAAGTTGTAATTGGATGCAGTGGAATTTCTGCAGGAAGGACAAGAAGAAGGTCTAAAGAACACAGACAGAAAATAGCAATCTAAAATGATGTAAAGGGAGAAAAGGAGGAGCTCATGGCTTAAAGATCATGCATCATCTGCTTTTAAGATATAAACTAGGACTGGTCTCTTTTTGCTTAATCGTGTTCTTATAAAAGATGGCTTCTCTTGAGATATGTAAACACTATAGGAATAATCCCAGTTTCATGCGTTTTGAAAAAAAGTGTTTTATAGAAATATTAGATTTACAAGTGGAATGTAGGTTGTAAATTTTTTTTTGTTAAGAGATTCAATGAAACAATGGTTAAAAATTTTTTCATGGTAACACAAAATCTGTACACACAAAATGTAACTGATAATCCTTAAGTAAAGGTGTTCCTCTTATATAAGGAAGAAAACACCTGGTGTAACCATAGATTGTATATTCAGTGTTTAGTTCACTTGGAAGGATAAATTTTATTCATATGCTAACTTATCTATCTTTTATATTAATATAGTAGACTTGCCAACTGGACTTTCAGTGCAGTAACAACCTAAAGTTGTTTATAATTTTAATAAATAAAAATTGTAACTTCATGTATCTAAATGTCACAGTGTAAGATTTGAATATTTTCAGTGATATATAAAAAGGCAAGCATAACCAAATAATTGGAAACATAAATATTGTGGTATAAATTTTCTGCAAGAATTTTAGTTTTACTTTAAAATTAAAATTGGAGGGGTGCCTGGGTGGCTCCATCCGTTAAGCTTCTGACTCTTGATTTTGGCTCAGGTCATGATCTCAGGGTCATGGGATCGAGCCTCATGTGGGGCTCCATGTTCAGTGTGAAGTCTGCTTGAGAGTCTCTCTCCCCCTTTCCCTGCCCTCCCCTGCACATGTTCCCCCTCCTTTTCTCAAATAATAAATAAATCTTTAAAATTAAAACTGGATATATGAAGTTATAAAAACAGATGAATAGATATATTTTTAAATGCTGGTAAAAGGAATTGCTTATTGAAAACCCTGAGTTTTTAATGTTAAAAGGATTCAAAATTGTGTTTCTTTTTCTCCAATAATTCTGTAGTTAACTTTCTAATGTTAAGTACTGTTTGAACAAAAGTAAAAATTAAAATGAAATTCTTCCCCTTTGAATTTGGAACACTGTAACATAGGTTGCTATGGCTGATTTGTGTTTTCTCTGATATATCTGTGTGTTTGTTATTCTACTTCTAAATTGTGTAGATGTTGGAGATTTCATTGAGGAAAAATACAGTCTTAGATAAAGATAAAATCTAACTTAGTAGTCTTTATTCTTTTGTATCTCTCAATTCCTGAGAGATATGTTTTAAAATTTCCCAGCTCATTTTTAGATTTATTAACTTTTTTCCTTGCAATTGTTCGTTTTTGTTTCATACCTCTGTTGGGTTGTCATCTTCATGGTTATTTTTATTGTAATGTATTTTTGTCTGTCTTGTACTTTTTCTTTATTGTGGCACATATTAATATTGTTATATCAGTTTTCTTTGTACTTTTGGGGGCTTTGGTGTGTGTGTGTGTAACTTTTTTAGTGTAAAATACAAGATACAGAAAACTGTACAACACAATTGTACAACACAGTTGTACAGCCTAATGAATTATTATAAGGTGAATATTCTTGTTACTACCATCCAAGTCAAGTAATAGAACCATGCCAGCCACCCCTGAAACCTTTGAATGTGTCCCATCCCTTCCCTTTCTCCAAAAGTTTACCACTATCCTGACTCTCAAGGTAATTCCTTTCTTCTTTTTCTTATGGTTTTATCACCCACATGTATATTCTGAGACTCTCTAAGAGTTTAGTCCTGTCCATCCAAAAGAACTTTACATGTCTTTTAAGTCTTTTAATCAGCAAGTTGCTTTTGCACTCTTTTCTTCCCCCTTGTACTTTGTTGATGAACCCTGGCCATTTGGTCTTTTAGACTTTCCCTTTGTCTGGATTTTGCTGATTGCATGAGGCACATTTAAATATGTTCCTTTGTCCTCTGTATTTCCTGCAAATTGGCAGACCAGAGGCTTACTCAGACTCATTGGTTCCCTCCGGCAAGACTATAGATATTCTTCCATAGTGTCTGTTTTTTCACTTTTTTGGATGTAAGCAGCCAGTGATATTGAACACGGACATCTTTTTGTTTATTGAAGTTTGTAAAACTGTCACTTTAATTCTGTCATTTTGTTTTCATTTTTACCTAGAATAATCTTATAAAGACATGCTTCTCTCTCCTCTACTATTTGGTTACCCAATGGTAAAAGGTCATGTAGGGAGGATAAAATAACTGCTTGTTTCTTTCCTTTACTCACTTGTCAAGGTAATTAGTTGGTTTGCTGTGATCCTCAGAAAGTGACCAATTAGCTTTTTTTTTCATTATATTGTGATGAACTTATAGACCTAAATACATTTGATTCATTTCTCTTCATTGTTTTATTAAAGTTTAAATTGCCTCTCTTTGGTTAGTTGGTCTTTTTGATATGACCCTAGTCATCCTTGCTATCTTCCTTGCTATCTAGTGTGCCAGGATGTTCCAGACTTATCTTGTACATTTTCTTCCCTGGACCTTGTAATTAGCTACTCAATGAAAAACTTAGTTTTATTTTTTAATTTTTTTTTAAGATTTTATTTATTTATTTATTTGAGAGAGAGAACATGTGAGAGAGAGCACAAGCAGGGGCAGCAGGCAGAGGGAGAAGCAGGCTCCCCACTGAGCAGGGAGCTTAATCTTTACCACATCCTTGCATCCATGAGGTTTAGGTACCTTTATTATCCCCACTTTACAGACGAGGAAATCTGAGTACTAAGAGGTTAAGAAATGCTTGTCCAAGGTGACAATTAATGCAGCCAGAACTCAAACCCAGGCAGTCTGACTCCAAAATCCTGGCCTTAAGGTCTATGCTAAATATTCCTATTAGTCCCCATCATCCCAGCTGAGTGGTTTCATTATATTGGCAATTTCATTATGATTGCTCTAGGCATTTTCCACACAGTCCTGTTAGGATCAAATAATAAGCCATATTTCTAAAATTCTTCATATTCTTTATTCTTTTCTCAAGGTTTATCTCTTGGGACCACTGTTCTTAGATGACCAGTTTAGTCAGTGCTTTTGTATATTACTAACAGCATCATTCCACAGCTTATTTTCATTATCTTTCAGCCTAATACAAATGCTGTATATTTATAATGTTTTTGTGCAGTTATAAAAATTTGTGGTGATCTTAAAGATTGAATAATTATGCTTCAGAATTTCTGTGTTCAGTTGTTACCTTTTTAGGGAGGACAACTTAGTTACTAAACACTGGGACTATCAGTGTTTCTTCTAGATGGTATGTTGCCTGATTCCAGTTTGTCTGGGCCTTTTGGGATCAGAAACAAATGGCAGGAGTGTTGAGAGTATCAGTAGTGGAAGTTTTCCTGGTGCTGAGCAAGGAGAATAGGATTTGGTCATGAAAAGAATTCTGGCTAACCTGATTTTCTAAATATTCAGATGTTTGTCATTCTTGACTGATTTTTATTTGATCCTAGGCAAAGTTAAAAGGAAAAAAAACCAAACCAGTGTGTTTCAAATAGATAAGATCGGTTAGATCATTATTTTACCAGATTTAATTTGTGTTTAGGAAGGAACTAATGGAAGATGAGTAGAGGAAATGTGCTGACTCTGTGTGACCTTAGAGAAACTCATTGTTTTTATTAGTAATATCAAAATGTAGACTTTGTATCTGAGATTCTATGACTGACAGAATTACTGTACCCATATTAATTCATGTACAAAAAACTTTTATTGAAACAGATAACTGAAACAGGAAAAAGGATTAGCAGGATGATACGGAGGCAGGGAGGGACAGTGCTAGGAAGTCTATATCCTACTGTAAAGAACGAGAAGCTTTTACAATGGAATGATGATAATATACTTCCTGTTGCTCTCTTTGTAAAATAATCATTAATTCAGAGAAAAAACATTTTAAAGTGAGGTGAAAGATTGCCAATAGGAAGGTAAATGACTGCATAATGGTTTGATGAGAGCATTAGTACTGGAGTCAGAAATTCCCAACTTGGGGCCAGACTGGCTTTAGGCAAACTATTTTTTTCGATTTCATTTTCCTCTTTCTGTAATTAGAAAGCCTGATACTCAGGTACATTTCTTATAGTGATTAAAACTTGCATTACACGTAGTGCCTTGGCTAAGTAGGAACTTACCAAATGTCACATGAATAATTGAGATGATTTTAGATTCCTTACAAAAACATATCTCACTAAATTTCTAAAAAGAAAAATACCTTTGTGTTGGAATGGAAAGCAACTCAGTGGCTCTAGCAGATCTCTTAAAGAACAACAGCTATTAGTCCCTTCAGTGAGTGATAATATATAAAGTGTACCTTTGAGGAATGTGTACTCTCAGATCACTATTGGCATACTTGTAATGGTTCAGACTGAATTCTCAGAACAAATCGTCTAATAATAGAGTTTGTGGTAAGTGAAATTCAAATATTCTTAACCAGCATAAAGTCTTAATGGGCTCATGTCTACTCTAAAATTAAAGAAGTATCATTTTAGTGTCAATGTAATCAAATGTATCAATGTAACAATCAAAGCTTTTATTGAAATGACATCTGATGAGTACATTAACTATCATAACAAATGTTAATTCAGCTGTGATATGAAAAAATTTATTTTTAAGCATCAAGCATGCATTGACCTTTAAAATGCTTTATAATTTGATTAGAATAAGCAGCCATATTTTGGCATACTGTGGTATTTTTCCACAGATAATTTGTATTCTCAATATTTTTTTGTTATATCTTGTTTTAGTGATCGTGGTGGTGAAGACCCAAACCAGAAAGTAATCCATGGGGTTATTAACTCCTTTGTTCATGTTGAACAGTATAAGAAAAAATTCCCCTTAAAGGTAAAAAGCCTCCTTTAAAAACATAATCAGACCTTTAATTTCTTAAACTACTTGTTCTAATTTTTTAAATATGATTTTATTTTATTTATTTTTAATTTTTAATTTATTATTTTTTATTAAATATGATTTTAATTGGTTTATTTAGTTTTATCAGGAAATCTTTGAGTCTCCCTTTCTGACTGAAACAGGAGAGTATTACAAACAAGAAGCTTCAAATTTATTACAAGAATCAAACTGCTCACAGTATATGGAAAAGGTAAGAAAGAACATATTATGTTAAATGCATCATCTGTTATATATCAGGCATGGTTTTATTTAACATTTGTTTTCTTAGTTAATACACTTTTTTGGTGGAAAAAGGGTTTTTTTTATTTGATCATTACTCTCAGTTATAGTTAATATATAGTACCTATTGATAAATCATTGTTCTTGCTGTGGCATTCTCCATGAGGAAAAATTCTATCCAGTTTTCATCATGGTTGATGCTTCTTGATAAATCCTGATTGCTTGATTTGCTTGTCTTTAAAATTAATATTCACATTTTTTGTCAAAAAGTTTGACATTTTTTGCTTACTTTTGGTTTCTGTGACTTTGCCCTAGACTTCTGGCTCCACCAGGGAGCATAGTAGGTTCCTCATTTTCATCAAAAGGTATCTGAGAGGTATCCAGGAATGATGTGTTATTTCCCCTCTCAACATCACCTTCCTTCCCAGTATTACCTTCTTATGTCCAGGCAAAGTCAGCAGTACTCTCCAAAGGCTTAACTGTATATAGTTCTCTGGGACCAGTTAAGTTCAGAAACTCTAGTTACATAGCTTCGTATAGTAGAATGTTTTCGAAGTCTAAACATTTGTGTGTGTATGTACTATGCTAGCGTGATTTTAATTGCGAATGTAGTTTTGTTTTGAGGTAGAAATTAGATTCTCTAGCTTTTATCTTTATTAGCTGGTTCTTGTTAATATTAATCAGTGTGTTGTTGGTAGCCCAGTGTTTCTTATATAGAACAAGCTTTACTAAAGCTCTTGATTGACATATTTAAGTATGACTAAGTATAATTGACTTTGAAAAATTTTAATGAAATCTTTAATTCGGTACTTATCATGTATATTACTGATAACATTTACTTTTTATAAGAAGAGGGACCAACATAAAATAATTAGGTTAATCTACTTGATCCAATTGATGTAAACTATTTTTTAGTTTGATAGTTAAATATTCATAAAGTGACCACCTGTTCTGGTTTTTAATAATTTTTACTCACTTTTCCTGTTGCATGTTAGATTTCTTATATAATAGGATGATCAGGGTCAGTAAATGAAGACAAAATGCAGACCACTTAACTTTAGTTCGTGTTCATAAGATTTTGGTAAAATGTAGGTGATAGCTAATAGCCTAAATAAAAATTTGAAATGATTTATGGAATGTGGGTTTAAATTGGTTATGTAATCTTTATTTGTTATCTGGCCATCTTTAATTGAGCCATTAAAATTAGGCTACCTAAGTTACTTACTGATGTTACAGGTTTTTCCTCATAGTAGGTCATGACTGTAAGAATATATTTCTAAAGGTTCTAGGTAGATTAAAAGATGAAGAAATTCGATGTCGAAAATACTTGCATCCAAGTTCATATACTAAAGTGATTCATGAATGTCAGCAACGAATGGTAGCAGACCACTTACAGTTCTTACATGCAGAATGTCATAATATCATCCGACAAGAGAAAAAAAATGGTAAGTGATATGAAACAGTGAATGTGAATAGAAATTAAATTATAAACGCACTTTCTACATCATCTCCAAGCCTCCTTAGATTTCAGACATTTTTAGTAATAATCTAAAATATTTGATATGCCTTTTTACCAATTCTTAATAAAAAGACTATTTTGGAAAGGTATGTTTTCAAAGTCAAAAGAAAAACTAGGAAAAGGTGTTTGCACATTTTTACATATCACAAGGGCTAATTTCCTTAATACATTGAGTTTCTAATAAACAGCAGGAAAAAAAGCAAAGATGAAAAGGAAATATAAATAGATTTTAAATATATGCAGATGCTCAGTCTCATTCAAAATAGAAGAAAATACAAAATAAAGATATAATGAGATACTAATAATAAGCAATAAAAAATGGAATTTTTTTAAAGATTTTATTTATTTATTAGAGAGAGAGAGCACAAGCAGGGGGAGTGGCAGGCAGAGGGAGAAGCAGACTCCCCACTGAGCAAGGAGCCCGATGTGGGGCTCTACCCCAAGACCCTGGGATCATGACCTGAGCCGAAGGCAGGCGCTTAACCGACTGAGCCACCCAGGCGTCCCAAAATGGAATTTTTTTTAAAGGAGAAAATAGCACTAAAAATTTTCAAATAACAGGGAATAAACATAACAAGATATGTGCCAGACCCACACAGGAAATGAAACATTGTTGAAAGCAACATTGATTTATAGATTCAGGAGAATCTGCTCAAAACTGCAGTGGTTTTTTTGGTTTGTTGTTTGTTTTAATTGTGAAAGTTAAACTCTTAGACTAAGAAAAGTCAAGACAGTCTTGAAGACCGTCATGGGAAGACTTTGCAGGATAGCATGACTTATGATAAAACCACAGTAATTAGGACAATGAGACATTGGTGCGAGGGTAAACAAATAGACCAATGGAATAAAATAGCCTAGAAATAACCCATGCATACATAGATACTTGATTTAAGACCAAGGTGACACAGTAGAGCAGTAGGTGAAAGATAGTCTTTTTAACACACAGTGCTGAGTCCATTGGATATTCACTTGGGAAAAAAGTAAAGTTTGATCTCTACCTCAGATACCGTATACAGAATCAGTCAATACATTGTAGGCTTTTGACCTACATGTAAAACAGTAGCACTTCAAGAAGATAATATAGGAGAATAACTTCATGACCTTGAAATAAGGAAAGATATTTTTAAATGAGACACAAAAAACACTAACCACAGAGGAAAGATTGATCAAGTGGACTGCATTGAAAAAAAACCTTTGGATCATTAAAAGACCATTAAGAGCATCAAAAGACAATCATAGGGTAATATATTTGCAATCACTGAAAAAGGTTTATGTCCAAAATATAAAATGGTCAAGAAATTTGAACAGGTACTGCAGAGTAGAGGATATCCAAGTGGCCAGTAAACATATACAGAGGCCCTCAATCTTATTAAAATAGAGGAATGCAAATTAAAATCCACACTAAGATACCAGTACTCACATTTTGATACAAAATTTAAAAGACCATTACAGGGGAGGGGGGTGGGGGATGGGTTAGCCCTGTGATGGGTATTGAGGGCACGTACTGCATGGAGCACTGGGTGTTATACGAAAACAATGAATCATGGATCACCACATCAAAAACTAATGATGTATTGTATGGTGATTAACATAACATAATAAAATTTTAAAAAATACTAGGGTAAAACTGGAGAGATTGTTGAAATTTAGATAGTGTTGAATAAAGCAAGAGATTCTGGGGTAAAAAAAAAATTAAAAGACCAAATACAGTAAGTGTTGGGAAGTGTGTAGAGGAGCAAGAATTTGTTATATACTCTGGGCTTGGAGTATAAATTGATGCAACTACTTTGAAAAACTGACATTGACTCTTAAGGCTGAATGTATGCATATCTTCTGATCCAGCCCTTCCAATCCCAGATATATAATCCCCTGCCCAAACTGCATGCAAATATATACAAAAAGGTAAAAGAATGTTCATAGCAGCATTACTTGTATTAGCTCCAAACCAGAAATAACTCAAATGTCCAATAACAGTAGAATAAAGTGCAGTATACTCCTATAATGGAATATTATTAGAGAAGTGAAAATGAACAATTACAGCTACATACAAAATGTAGATGAGCCTTATAAACATGTTGAACGAAAGAAACCAAACATGAAGGAATTGTATGATTCCATTTTTATAAATAGTTCAAAACAGGCAAAACTAATCTGTGGGTTGGTAGTCATGGTAGTGGTTACCTTTGCAGAAAAGCAAGAGGAATAGTGATTGGGAGGAGGTATGAAGGGAACTTCTAGGTGTAGGGAATGTCTGTTTCTTACCCTGGGGGGTGATGTCATGGGTGTGTATGTGTTCACTTGTGATAATTCATTGAGATATATACTTATGGTTTGTACACTTTTTGTATATGTGTTATATTTCAATAAAAAGTTTAAAATAAAAAGCACTACACTGAGGGGCGCCTGGGTGGCTCAGTTGGTTAAGCGACTGCCTTCGGCTCAGGTCATGATCCTGGAGTCCCAGGATCGAGTCCCGCATCGGGCTCCCTGCTCAGCAGGGAGTCTGCTTCTCCCTCTGACCCTCCCCCCTCTCATGTGCTCTCTCTCATTCTCTCTGTCTCAAATAAATAAATAAAATCTTTAAAAAAAAAAAAAAAAGCACTGCACTGAGACATCATTTTCAGTGGGAAAGATCAAAACGTTGATAACATGTTGGCAAGGGAACTTCCTGCTGTTGGGAGCTGTGTTATAAGGATCTGTCTATAAGACGAAGCTCTGACACAATAGTCCTGCTTCCAGGGATTTATACTACGGATATTCTTGCCCATATACAGGATTTTTTTTTAAATATTTTATTTATTTATTTGAGAGAGAATGAGATAGAGAGAGCATGAGAAGGGGGAGGGTCAGAGGGAGAAGCAGACTCCCTGCTGAGCAAGGAGCCCGATGCGGGACTCGATCCAGGGACTCCAGAATCATGACATGAGCCGAAGGCAGTCGCTTAACCAACTGAGCCACCCAGGCGCCCCTATATACAAGATTATTAATTGTAATATTGTAATATCAAGAGATTAGAAACAACCAAGTTTTCATCAATTTTTAAGAAATTTATAATATAGGGGCGCCTGGGTGGCTCAGTTGGTTAGGCGACTGCCTTCGGCTCAGGTCATGATCCTGGAGTCCCCGGATCGAGTCCCGCATCGGGCTCCCTGCTCTGCAGGGAGTCTGCTTCTCCCTCTGACCCTCCCCCCTCTCATGTGCTCTCTCTCTCTCATTCTCTGTCTCAAATAAATAAATAAAATCTTAAAAAAAAAAAGAAATTTATAATATAGCTATATAATGGGGGTGCTATGCAGTTGTAAAATAACCTTTATGTAATGATATAAAAAGATCTCTAAGTTAAAATGTTGTGTTCTGCAGTTGCAAATAATACATAAAATATGCTACACTATTTGTGTAAAAAGAGGCAGAGGGAAGACTATATGTATTTGTTTGAATGTGCATGAAACATCTTTGAACTGTTACTAACTACAATATTGCTTTCCTGTGGATGGTTGGGAGATGGGTGTAGGGGACTTTCTTTGCATTCTCTTGTAATTCTGCATTTTGAACCATGCATTACCAAATACATTAAAATATTTTTTGAACTCTTTGGAAATTTAATAATCAAATTTTTTTTTCTCTTCAGACATGGCAAATATGTATGTCTTACTTCGTGCTGTGTCCACTGGTTTACCTCATATGATTCAGGAGCTGCAAAATCATATCCATGATGAGGGCCTTAGAGCAACCAGTAATCTTACTCAGGAAAATGTGAGTTATATAAGGAACTGGATATTTTTCTCTTAATCAGATTATCATGGAGTTTTTCTTACGACTTTACTGTTTTAAACAATGACAGAAAAGTCCTACCATGATAACAAATGAAATATCTTTATTAAAATGTTTTAAACCTGTAGTTTGTTGGCCTCATTCTGGAATTATCGTATTATTAGAAAATCATTGAATGAAATAGGCTTCTTCATAGTCATATTGATGTGTTCATTTAGCAGTTGTTAATTAACTGCTCACAGAAAAATATGTTTGCTGTTCCTAAATGATTGTATTTCTATGTAGTTGGCATTAATAGTTGTAGGGATAATGGTATTAATCAGTGGTAATATAGGCAAGTGACAATTTGCTTTCTTTATATATGCTCTGAATTTGGTAGCCCAGGAAACAAATTTAAATTAAGACAGTCTTCCCTAAATAAATGCTTGCTACCCAAAATATCCAGCAGTGAACCTCATGTCTCTAATACTTACCTTTCTGAAGAGTTCCCTGCCAGTCAAATGACTATTCACAGCAAGGTGTCTTTCCTCTCAAAGTGTGTTACTATCATCAAATCTTGTTGGATGAACTTCTTTGTTATTACTTAGTGATGGCTTAACTAATAAGATAGACATGACATGAAATGTTACTTCTCTTCCTGAAGTAGAGCTTTGGCTCTTCATTTGCAATAATTTTTATATGGACATCATCATTCGGGAGCATTTGTTAAATGCTGATCACTTCAATGATTTTATGTTCTGCCACAGTAATGCATTAAGTAAAACCATTAATTTATATTATTAGTCTTTTAGGTTCAGGGTGTTGAATGATATTGGGCAAAGAGGCATAGGGTGCCGTGTCAAGGACGGGGGTGGAAGTGTAAGAGAATACATCTGTAGTAGACCCAAATAATTTTAGCTGACGTAGTTCCCTCCATTAAGTTCAAAAACTCACTTTTGCACTGCTAGATACTTCTTCCCTCTCAGATGTGGGGGAATTGTACTGCTTAATTCAGGGGATCTCTGTTTTCACAGACTCTGGCTTTTTAACTCTTCTTTCTCTCTCAGCCTTCAGTAGCTTTGAAGGCAGTTTTTGTTTATATAATCCTCTATGAAAGTGATAGGCCTGGTAGTTCAGAGGCTGTATCTTGTTACCCTGAAGATACGGTATTCCAACACAGAGAGGAGTGTTTTTAGTGGGTTCTTCTGGGAGAAGAACTCCAGTCCTGCATTTCTCTGGTGTTGAATGACAAGCTAATTTCAATATTAAAGTTCTAGATTTTTAAGGCCATCTTAGCTAAAAACATTTTTGAGGGTTTGTGTGTGTGTGTGTGTAATATTAATTGGCTTAGGGAAAACTTTACACGTAATTAAACATTTTTTAGTAAGCCTCATTTTATCCTTGAACTTCTTAAAATGTGATTTTGTACTTTGTATTTCACATTTTTAGATGCCAACACTATTTGTGGAGTCAGTTTTGGAAGTACATGGTAAATTTGTTCAACTTATCAACACTGTTTTAAATGGTGATCAGCACTTTATGAGTGCATTGGATAAGGTAACTTTTTAAAGTATATATATAATTTTCTTTATTTAATCACCATTCTTTAGGAAGTTTCAGAATTAGGGCTCCTAATTGATTGTGTATGTGATTTCTAATCTAGACAAAGTCAAAATAGAAATATAACTTTTAGATTAATAACTGAGTGGTTAAATTGAATGCTTGAATTATATGGGAATTGAATTTCCCATGAGTATGCTATATAGGGGGCAATTGCTAATAAATTAGTATCTTCTAAAAAAATGCAATTTTTTAAATTAAAAGTGTAATTAAAGTGTAATTTTAGTATCCTTTAGTGCTGATTTTTCCTTTAAATATGATACTAAGGTACTATACTGAATAATATTTGAAATAAAAATAAGTATGTTTTACAGATTTTGGGATTTTGGTATCCTTTAAAGGAAATTTGTTTACATGGTTATTATAGGATTTTTTAAAAATGTAGTCTTATTTTATCTGTGTTCAAAAACCAGTAATGAATTATAGAGAATATCTTTCAGTAGGAAGAGTATATATAATTTTTTATATAATTATCATGAGGGTTACAGTTAGAAATTTACCCTGTGTTAAATATGAAAACAGGAACACACTACCATCAGAATGCCGTGTTTTGTGTGAGGCAATAATTTTTGGATGTACGGATTATAGCATATGATATTGAACCAGCTGCACTTTTACCCCATTACTGGGGGCTAATTACTGGTCTGTTTTCTTATTTAGGCCCTTACATCAGTTGTAAATTACAGAGAACCCAAGTCTGTTTGCAAAGCACCTGAACTGGTAAGTTTTGATGGTTGCTTAAAAGTAATCTTACGGAAAATCAGTATTAGAAAAAGAAAACTGAGGAGAGCGTCAAATTAATTTGGTTTTATAGTATCTTTCAGAAAAATAGATGAAATTAAATTATTAAAAATAAAAATTATTATGTACATTGTTTATAATTTGGCATTTATTTAAGGAATGCAATTGGCCATGTATTAAAGCCTTTTTTTAAAGGAATAACTGACAGGGAAAATACTCCATTTCACAACGTTTGGTGTTTAAAGTATGTGTGCTTTGGAATAATTTGCATTACTTCTCATAGGGATTTTATTTTATCTGAAATCTAAAGGAAATTGTATGGTAAATTTTTGATAGCCTTTACAGGAAATTTGCTTACCAAGGTTGTTGTAAGATTTTTAAAAAGTACTCGTTTAATGTAAAAAATACCAGAGCCTCTCAAAACTCATCTAGATATTCTTTTGAAACTTTTATTACTTATATCAATGCTTTATTGGGCTCTACATGTTGATTAGATTTTTTTTACTTATTTCTAGTTTTTTTTTTAACCTTATAGAATATATTTTAAGTTCTTTGGGGCATATTCATAATTTTTAAAACATAAGCTTTAGGATGGCAAAGACCTTACCCATTGATCTTATTTTGTATTGTTGCCACTTTGCCTCCTTTGAGGCATGATATGTACAGAAGGGCCCTATCTAAGATTTACTGTCAATTTCTACTTGAGCTTGCTAAGTACTGTGACAACTTATTAAAGAAGTCAGCGAAGGGGATGACCGAGAATGAAGTAGAGGACAAACTCACGAGCTTCATTACCGTTTTCAAGTATATCGATGATAAGGATGTTTTTCAAAAGGTAAGTTGTTAATAGAGAAGTTTTATTTGTGTTTTAGTCAGCTTTGATTTGGTTTTGAACTTCAAATCATCAGAAAGAAAGTAATCTTTAAAAAATTTTTTTAATACAGTTCTACGCAAGAATGCTGGCAAAACGTTTAATTCATGGATTATCTATGTCTATGGATTCTGAAGAAGCCATGATCAATAAATTAAAGGTAATTTAAGCCTTTGATCTGATAATGTCCTAGAAATTATTCCATGAGCACATAAAGATATTCATTGGAGCATTATATGTAGTTCCAAAATATTTCATCAATAGGAGACTGGTTAAAAAATATAGAATGTATATTCATGTGGTAGGATATGCAAATACGGTATTGAAAAGACAAAATCTCTCTATATTGATTTAGAATCATCCACAAGATATAAACAGTGTTAACTTTACAAAAGACTTGTATTACTTAATGAATGAATACAGCTAAAGTATTCCTTTAAGTACAAGTTTTGGAGTGCAGTTGAATTTCAGGTCATTTTTATATCATTTTAGCGTACATACTGATGAGATAAATAGTAGCTGATTCATATTTATCATGAGTTACTTAGTAGTTGATAATTCCTACATAGTAGACATTGAATATACTATGTGGTCCTTTTTAAATATACCAGTCAATAGTTATCTTTTGATTTTTAAAAATAATGTAAACACAAAGCATTTTATATCCCAGGATTAGAGATCCAAATGTTCTGAACTGGTGATGACAGAGTTTTGAATAATTTCAAGGAAGTGGATTTCTTCATTATTCAGTAGATGGTATTAAAAATATGCCTAAGTACCCTCCTTTTTAAACTTGACCACTGACTCAAATATACATAGTCATCTTTTGTGTGTATTTGATCCTATATGTAAACTTTATAAGGTATCTTATATATAGTAATGGAGCATTTTGTAGTGTTGAAATAAGATACATGGATTTATAGAAAAGTTTTTATTTTAAAAGGAAATTTATTGTTTCATAAATCTGTATTTTCATTTATTCTGCATTGAAAAGGAAAAAATCTTTGAAAGGTTTTGCTTTGAATAGCTGCTTTGGATTATGAATAATATAGGCCATTGGAGTAAATACATAAGCAGGACCTTTGACCATAGACCTATCAGTAGAAATACATTCTTAATAATCAATATGGTTTTTTATTTTTCTTTTTAAATCTTATATTTTCAAAAACTTTTTCTTTTACAGCAAGCCTGTGGTTATGAGTTTACCAGCAAGCTACATCGGATGTATACAGATATGAGTGTCAGTGCCGATCTCAACAATAAATTTAACAATTTTATCAAAAATCAAGACACAGTAATAGATTTGGGAATTAGTTTTCAAATATATGTTCTACAGGTATGAGTATGTGTTCCATTGTGGGCATTTATTAACCCTTTCAAATATTCTGATGCAAAGGATTAATGTATGGATGCCTGATTACATTTCTTTCAGTCAGTGGTTGGTAGCTTCTAAAGTTACATGTTATATTGAATTGGAATGAAATGTGTCATGATAGAAATGTTGATGGGTTTTATCAACATTTTGAGGAAGGTAAAACAAAAAGGTGCTTTAGTCGCTTAAATCATTTTATAAATTTTTATTTTTAAGTTAGATATTTATCTGTTTAACTTTTTTCCTTCTAGGCTGGTGCATGGCCTCTTACTCAGGCTCCTTCATCTACATTTGCAATTCCCCAGGAATTGGAAAAAAGTGTACAGATGGTAAGTTTGCAGGAAATATGTTAGAAGACCAAAGAAACTTTAATAATTGTCTTCATGTTATGTTACTTTAAATATTTTTCCAAAGTCTTAAGGCCTTATATGATATAAAAGTATATGCACAAATGATAGTTTGTCTGCCTGTAGGAAGAATGTTAAGTTATTGTAGTTCCTAATATTAAAACTAAAATGCTAAGGGTGTGTCATACAGTTCTTTGTCAAAGTGTGTCTCTTATTTTTATTAAATCAGTTATCTGCTCTTAAGCAGTTTTAAATTACAGAAATTTTGGTATTAGAAGAAAGTTTAGAACCCAGTACTTAAAATAGTCATTTTCTAACTTTTCATTTGAATTTGGAGCCAATTTTGTGCCTCCACATTTATCCCCTATAATAGTTATTTTTATTTCTGGGCTGTAATTTAGGTAAGTGTATATGGAATGTGAAATAATCTGGAAAAAATGCTTTAAAGTGTGACTGAATATAAACCTTACAATGTTTACCAAAAAGCTTTTAAAGAGACTGTATCTTTATAGCTTTATTGGGATATAATTAATATACCATATGTCCTAGCCTGTTCAGGTTCTTATAACAAAATACCACAGACTGGGTAGCTTATAAACAACAGAAGTGTATTGCTCACAGTTTTGGAGGCTGGACACCTGAAATCAGGGTGCCAGCGTGGTCACGTGAGGGCCCTCTCAGGGTCACAGACTTCTTGTGTCCTCACATGGTAGAACGGGCTATGGGATCTCTTTTATAGTAAGCACTAATCCCATTCATGATGGGCTCCACCCTCATGATTTGAGCACCTCCCAAAGGCCTCACCTCCTAATACTATCATACTGGGCCTTAGGATTTAGTATATGAATTTGGGAGGGACACAAATGTTCAAACCATAGCACTATATAATTCATTCATTTAAAGTATACAATTTCAGTGATTTTTAGTATATTCACAGTTGTGCAACCACCACACAATTTCAGAACATTCTTTTTTTTTTTTTTTTTAAAGATTTTATTTATTTGAGACAGAGAATGAGAGAGAGAGAGCACATGAGAGGGGGGAGGGTCAGAGGCAGAAGCAGGCTCCCTGCCGAGCAGGGAGCCCGATGTGCGACTCGATCCAGGGACTCCAGGATCATGACCTGAGCCGAAGGCAGTCGCTTAACCAACTGAGCCACCCAGGCACCCTTTCAGAACATTCTTATTGCCCCAGAATTGTCCCTTCAAAACCCCCTACCCATTAATAGTCATTCCCCATTTTCCCCCAACTCCCTTCCCCACTCCTCCCAGCCCTAGGCAATCTACTTTCTTTCTCTATAGATTTGCCTATTCTGGACATCTCAGAGTCTTACCATTTGTGACTAACTTCATTCACTTATCATGTCAGGGTTCATCCCATGTTGTAGCATGTATCAATAGTTAATTCCTTTTTATTGCCAAATAATATTCCATTGTATTGATGTACCACATTTTCTTCGTCCATTCATCAGTTGATGGACATTTGGGTTGTTTCCACCTTTTCGGTAACAAAAACTTGTACATGACATGTACAAGTTTTTGAGTGGACATGTTTTCATTTCTCTTGAAACTGACCCTTTTTGATTTCCTAACTCACCAAAAGAGGTTTCTTATTTCTTGACTGGATGGAAGTTTGGGTAGCATTTTTTTCTAGAGAAATCTTCATTATTGCATTTGGGCAGTAACTTGAGGTTGAAAATGGTATTTCATTACACTGTTCCCTACAGATGTTTGCAATGGGTAATTTGAGTCATTTTTTAAAGTAAGTGTGTTTTTTGTTTCTTTCAAAATAAGGATTATAAAGAAAATAACAGTGTAGGCTCTGGAATCATAATTTCTGGTTTCATATGTCCTGCCATTTACTATGCTCTGTGACTTTGGGCAAATAACTTTCTGATATTTCTGATGATAGGACTACTCAGAGTGTTGATATGAAGATAAAATGAAATAATGTAAAGCACTTAGCCTGGTGTATAGTAAGTACTCAATAAATGGTAGCTAATATAGAAGAAGTAATAGTTATAGTAGTAGTGATAATAGCAGAGTATAAACAACCAGGTAGATTTCAAGATACCAAGCATAAGGTAGACTTTCAGACTAGGAGTCTAACTTAAGGACTTCTTGCATCTTCTTTAGAAAGGCATGATAGCACAACCATCTTAAAAACTGTATGAAGAAAAGCATTCATTTGGGTGGGCAGGTTATTATGGATTTTGCAAGAAGGATAGATGCAAGCTAGGGGTAGGAGATGAGGTAGCCAGGTAAGGCATTTTGATGTCTTTAACAGTACTAAAACTTACTTCTTAAAAGAACCTGAGTTTTTGAATTGCAATTAAGGCAGAGAATAGGGGCTGCCAGAAATAGTTTCCTTCTAATTTTATGTTGCTGTTCTCTCTCCTCTTGAGTTAATCATTTTCCATTAACAGTTTTTTAACACCTTCAACTTTTATTAATGTATAACCTTCATCAGGTTTCAGGTTCTTCATTTGCAAACAGGAAGTGAGTTCTTTTCTGACTATAAAATTATGATTCCAAGAATATTGTCTTCTCCATTTGGATTTTCTCTAATTACCAGTAGAGGGAGTTTGTCCTTCTATTTTTTTTCCTAGTAAATCTAAGTGTTCAGTTATATAGGACTCAAAATTCATCTGTGTACTTAACACCGTACATTTTCACATATAAATTAATTCATCTTGCCTTAGTGATCATTTATATATTTTATATCTTAATCTTAAATATAGCAGTTTATCAAAAATGACTTTCATTTTATACATATGAATCTTAAAACTATGGAAATGAAGCTTTAATTAAAAGTAATTTATTTTGCATATTAGACCAATAACCTTCATTGTTGTATTTCTTTTGTACCTGGTCTATAATCTGAATAATACCAAAGAAATATAAAATAGTGTGTATTAATGCAGCTCTTTATTAGAAGTAAATATGAATTGTTTATTTTTAAGGCCCTTTGAGTTCTAATTAATACTCTCAAATGGTATTTAAAGGATGGTGTCCTAGCCTGACTATTATTTATTTTAAAATGAGAAGTTTAGGCAAGATATATTTTTTACTAATAAACTTCGGTAGCATAATTGTTTAATGATATAATGAAGCAAGGTTTTATAGCTTTTGTCTTTGAATACCAGATGAATTTATAATGTTTCCATTTGGTACTCAATCTATTTGTTCTTGACTAGTTATTTATGAAAATCTTTAATCAGATTTTAAATTTAAGGGTAAAGGAATGTTTTCTGCCTACATATCTATATCATTATCAATAAAACTTTATTGATAGTACTAGTTGTTAGTGGAAAGAAGCAAAACATTGCCTTCAGAGCTTGGAATATAAATCCCGATGCAGGGCTCGATCCCTGAAATATACATCCTTGCACTTAAATAATTTAGAAAGAACATTTTAAAGTTTGGTTTTCTCAATTTCAGAATGTTTTATTTTGCTTTTGTCCACAAAGTCATTATAAATGTTTCATAATTAAATTAGGAGTTATATAGTAGTAATTGAATTTTATTGACGCCTTTGGAGGTTATTAATTAGTCAAAGCCTACTTCTGGGATCCTTTTATGACATTATTTTGACTTTCATTTGTCTAGATTAGAACTAGGCAGAAAATCCTAAGTATTTCAAGTGTTAGTCATTTCCTATTTATCATGCCAGGGGCTTGGTGGATTTGTACCATTGGAGGGAAAGCATGCTCAACAAGTTAGCTTACCAGGACTAAGCAAACTTGGAATGGACTGCTGAAAGAATTCACTAATTCTCTTGGTTGGCAGGTCAAACATTGCTGATTGCTTTATTGAAACTTTGTTTTGGGAGTACAGAAGGTTAAGTTTGATACAATTAAAAGCTTTAGGTGTAAATATTACATGTGGCACATTATGCTGAAAGTATGTCCACAATTCTGAATTGTGATATGATGTGTTTGCTTATTTTTCAGTTTTATAATGAAATTGAGTGTTTCGGGTTTTGTTTGTTGGGGTTTTTTTGTTTTTTTGTTTTTTTTTACATTTCAGTATCATTTTCTCACTATATATTTATGTACTGACTCTTTTAAAAGATATTTTTTGGATTGATGTCCTACAGTTTACACATTCAATTCAAGGAAGGAGTTTTTTAAATTTCAAAGCAACATTAATAGAATGTTAAATTTTTTACAGTAATATCAACAAAAGATACAAAGATGAGTACTTTGAAGCTTTGTTTATATTAGTGTTTGGCTAGATGTGGAAGTTAAATTGTAGATACCACCTTATAGGTAATCACAGAAATATTAACCTGTCACTTCAGCAAGGGCATATGTTGGCAAATAGGAAAATAGAAATGAAGGTATGATTTGCATTTTCATATTGAAATTTATATGATGGTGTTTTTGGTCAGTAATTAGTATTTATAAAGTCCAAATTGCTATCATTCAAAACTGATAATCATTGACTATCTCATTTCTGAATTTATACAAAAAGTCAAATGTGGAGGGCTGTGGTTTAGTGGAGAGAACCCTGGACAAAGTTTTAAGTGAAAAGAGCTGCACTGATATTTGTATGATCTTGGTCAGGGACTTGCATGGATATGTTTTCTCATCTATAAAGTGAGTAAGTATACCGGATGGGTTATAATGTCTTCTCTAACATCAACTTTTTTTGTGTGGTAATAGCTAAGTAAGTTATGTTATAGTAGCTGAAAATAATTTTTTTTCTTTTTTACAGTTTGAATTATTTTACAGCCAGCATTTCAGTGGAAGGAAACTGACATGGTTACATTATCTCTGTACAGGTAAAATGCATTTAATTATATCTAGTGTAGTGAAATTTACCTGATACAAGTATCTTAATAATTTAGGAAAAGATTTCTTATAGCCTAATGATAGTTTTTTCCCTAATGATGGCTTTTAACCTCTTTTCCTCTGTCTACCCTGCTGGTTATCATTAAACCAGGTATTAATGAAGTTTAAGTGCAGCACTTTTTTTTTTTTAAGATTTTTATTTATTTATTTGAGAGAGAGCACAAGCAGGGGGAGGGGCAAAGGGAGAGGGAGAAGCAGACTCCCCGTAGAGCAGGGAGCCTGACACAGGGCTCAATCCCAGGACCCTGGGATCATGACCCAAGCTGAAGGCAAATGCTTAACCCACTGAGCCACCCAGGCGCCCCAAGTGCAGCACTTTTTAATAGTGCTTTATTAATTTATGCTGCTTGTATTATTACTGCTTATTAAGAAAGTTTCTAAATTTTATAATAGTTTATTACATTTCTGTAACACACCAGTTTATCTAGACATTAGAAATTTTATCTAGAAACCAAGACTTGATAAGTCAGATACTCCTAAAAAACTGTTTTCTCTAAATATGTCAGAAATCCTCAGAAATTTCTTTAACCATTATAGCATCATAAGGAGATCTAACCATTTGATTTTTATTTGTGGTGCTGTAGTGAACTGCAGTAGTAAATGGTTTTTCCAAAATGTCACAATTAATTTCCAGTAGTTTCAATTCTAGAAAAGTTTAGTCAGAATCCAGTCCTTTGCTTCTTTTTGGAACAGTGGGGTCCACTTATTTGAAAGTAGGATTAATACCTGAATGATTGTAGACTGTGTGCAGTTGCTCTGAGTTGCCTGAAGATGTTAGCCAAAGCAAACACTCAAATTCTCTCTACTTTCGTTAAAGCTATGTTTTGAAAGTGCGTTGAATCAACTTTCCTTCTGTATAAGGAAAAGGTGTATATGTCTTAGGAATGGCATGAGAATATTTGATCAGTCAGGTGCCATAACCTTTATTAGGAAATTCTTTCACTCACGTAAGAGAAATTTCATTAAGAGGAACTACATCTAAGTAATTTCCTTTAAGTGCCATTTATTTGACCACTTTATATTTGTAATATAATGTCTCATTATGTTAGTAGTACATATTAGTACATAATTGGTACATGTAATATATACTTATACAAGTTTATTTTTATTAAACAAATTGGGCATTTACATTTTTTTTCAGCAGTTTGTGAAATAAAGAGATGATATTCTTAATAAGTGGTTAGTTTGTACTTGACCTGTAATTTTACATCTGTTATGAATTTTTTCTATTTTCATTTAGTAAATATAATTGGTTTTAAGGGAAAAAAATTGCTCAACCAGTGTTTTATTTTTTAAGATTTATTTATTTGAGAGAGAGAGAGTGCACAAGTGGGAGGGGCAGAGGGAGAGAAAATCTCAAGCAGACTCCCCGCAAGCAGGGAGCCCAACACAGGGCTCGATCTCACAACCCTGAGGTCACTATCTGATCCGAAATCAAGAGTTGGACACTTAACTGACTGCACCACCCAAGCGCCCCACTCAACCAGTGTTTTAGATAACTAAAAGAATTTCTAATATATCTTAATGTACTTGAGTTTAATTTAGTTTTACTTCCCCTGAATGTCTTTCGGAGTTTACTCTCTTTGTTTTTCTAATTACCTCAGCAATAATAAGCCTGTCTCCTAAAGTATTCTAATGAGGGGCTCACTTTTTTGGTGTTCAGCAACTCATTGTATATAGAAATAAAGAAAAAACTTATATATAGTTTCTGCCGGGCGCCTGGGTGGCTCAGTTGGTTAAGCGACTGCCTTCGGCTCAGGTCATGATCCTGGAGTCCCTGGATCGAGTCCCGCATCAGGCTCCCTGCTCAGCAGGGAATCTGCTTCTCCCTCTGACCCTCCCCCCTCTCATGTGCTGTCTCTCTCTCATTCTCTCTTTCTCAAATAAATAAATAAAATCTTAAAAATAAATAAATAAAATGTAAAAAATATATAGTTTTTGCCATTGGAATTTGACCTGAAAAGTCTTATCAATAACACCTAAATAGGAAAGAGATCAACATTCTTTTCCTGTTTTTGAACTATACTAAATTCCCAGGCTGGTCCATAATAACCAGATTTTTGGAGCTCATTTGTTCTTTTTTTTGGTCTTACTTTAGTGTTGCGTATATGTGTCTTAATTAAAGCCAAAGAGTTTATTCCTTTGGAAGAGAGATGTTAGCCTTGTAAATTCATTTCTTGTTTTGAATCACTGAAAGCACTGAAAATACCTGTGATCTATCAGTGAAGCCATTTGCTAAGGTTTTATTTTGGTTTTGTTTCTCATTTATTCGTTTACTCATTAACAAAAAGTTTTCAAACACCATCCACCCTTAAGATGCTTGTTCTGGTGTCCCCACATTTGTCATAAGGCTCCAGGGCTCCTTTAAAATATTGGCTCTGATTCTGGACTGATCACTCAAGAGTTTTGTTTCTCAAGAACCCCTATCGTTCATATTTACACATATAATCAAAATTACTCTTTCCTAGTCCATTTCCACATTTCCAGGTATTTTTTGTATTGTAATCCAAGAGTCTTTACAAGTGGTTGGAGATGGGTATCAAGTGGTATTTGGAGGAAGTTAGAATCAGAATATGTAGGGTTATTAGCCTATTAAGTCTGTAACCTTGAGCAAATTATTTAACTTCTCTGAGCCTATTTCTTCATCTTTATCTTTGTGAAATTCATTTATCAATTCAGGGAATCATCTTCTTTGTTCCTAGTACTGCTGTATGCTAAGAACAGATTAAAAATACAGAGGCTCAGCCCTCAAAAAGCTCACATCTAATGGGAGGACAGACAAGTAAATAATTACGGTAAATGTTTTGACTGTTATAATAGAGAGGCAAGCCCAGGGTATTAGTTTCCCATAGATTGGTGGTAGCAGACAGCCACTGGTAAAGGAAAGCTTTTGAGTAAATAACATCTAAACTTGGTTTTCAAGTGTGAATAGGACTTAGCCAAGATAGGCAAAGAAGAATGTTGAGAGCATATTACCAACAGAGGTTAAGAATTTTAAGAAGTAAGCAACTATGCTAGGAGATGTGACAGAGCTACTGAATGAGAGAATGATGAAAATTCCATTGGATTTATGACTAGGATATTGGATAGAATTATTCTGAGAGAAAAACTGGATGAAGAAATAACAAATATGGAACCCGGAAACTTATACTGTCTGGATATAAATAAGTTTTATTTATGGCACATCAGGATTTTATAGGAATCCTAAGTCAGCTGCTGAGAGAGAAGTTGAGAAATGAATTCAAGGAAGATAACACTTCCTTGGTTAAGACATAAATATGTAGATAATATATAAATAATACATATAATTAGATCACACTAGCAATTAGTGAACTGTGTGTCCTATAAGTGTTATTTGCCAAAATGAAAGTCACACCATATTGTTGCGCATTCCTTAAAAGGCAGTGATTCATTCTATCCTTGACTGAATTCTTTTCATTATTGATTTCAAGTACTTTAACAGCTAAAATTGTGAGGGGTTTTAACATTATCTAATGTCCAGTCCATATGTAGATTTCCCTGACTGTCCCCAGAGAGACTTTATTGCCTGTTTTTAATGTAATCAAAGGTCACTAATTGCACTTGATTATAGTGTTTTCCCGCTTCTTTTCCCTACCACTTCTTCCCTAACCCCCTTTAGCCCTCTTGACATACTTTTTTAAAAAGACCAGACAGTGTTTGGATTTGTCACATTATTTACTTGTGATGTATTTTATTTGTTTTCTATTGCCTGTACTTCTCTAAATTAGTATTTCTAAATTAGGTCCAAAAGTTTGATTCTATTCAAATTACATATTGTCAGCAAGAATACTTTTTTTTTTTTTTTTTAAAGATTTTACCTATTTGACAGCGAGAGAGGGAACACAAGCAGCGGGAGTGGGAGAGGGAGAAGCAGGCTTCCCGTGGAGCAGGGAGCCCGATGCGGGGCTCGATCCCAGGACCCTGGGATCATGACCCGAGCCGAAGGCAGACGCTTAACGACTGAGCCACCCAGGCGCCCCAAGAATACTTTTTAAATGGCAGTCCTGTATACTTCATAATGCATTACATCTGAAGGCATGTAATGTCAGATTGTCCCACTATTAGAGACACTAAAGTTGGTCACTTGGTTAAGGTGGTGACCACCAGATCTCTTCATTGTAAAGATACTCTTTTCCCCTTTTCAGTGATCCGAGGGGTGATACCGAGGTCCCATATGAATACCTTTTTCAGGAACAACCTTACCTAATGGCTTTGGCACCCACTGATGATCATGGCTTGAATCAGTTATTCCATTACTGGCTGCAAATTGGCGATACTCTTATCACTTGTTCAGCATTTAGTAACTGACATTCTTCTGTAAAGAAAAGCTTTCCCTTAGAGACTAAGGAGCTGTCGGTAATAGAAGAGTAACTTGGATGAAACTGTTGTGAGTTCTGCCCATTCATTACTTTCTGTAGTTGTAAATATCTCTTCAGTTATGTTTGGTGTATTTTTTAAAGTGTGTATCAGAATGCTTTATTCTAGTTTGGAGAATAACCTATTCTGCAGGTTAAATGACCTGTTTTGTCATTTTCCTTTTCTGTTTACATGGCAGTAATTAAATGAATCATCAAATTAGAGATGTCCTTCCCTGCCCCACATGTGCCCTCTACCCTTATCCCAGTCTGTTAAACTGTGAGCTAAAAGGAGAATGGTGCTGAAAGAGGGGCAAGAGGCCCAGATACCCCTAATGCCAAGAATTAAAAAATGGGGGGGGGAAGGGCCTTAATACGGTACTAACTAGTTTTCCTAGTGTTGCAGAATGAACTTAATAACTAAATGATACTTTGACCCTTTACTGGCATTGTCTCCTAATGCTCCTTGGGTTCTGGTGGTGATGAAAGACTATTTGGTGTGGCAAGAAGCTCATTCTGGGTCCCAACCCATGACAGTATATTATAGCACTGGATCTGATATATACATCACTGGATGTGTGGCCTGATGGTCCTATACTTCATCATCTACTTGCTTGATGCATTGTTTCATACTTGTTCCTGACATATGATTAAACAATCCTTGCACAAATGATACAATTTATGTGATATTTTGCTTTTCACCACATTTCCCAAATGTAAATGTTGAGAGTCCTTAAAGTATTATTTGCCCTGTTGGCAGGATACTCCTGATGTTAACTTTTTACTTAAACTCTTTGTGCGAATTGATTATTCTAATTAATATATTAAACCTACTTGCATGAAGATTCAGAGACAAGGAATTTTTTCTTGAGGTGTTTCCAAATAATTATCTGAATAACTGTTGTTTCCGAAATAGGTTGAGGCAGAATGAAAGTTAGAATAGGCATCTCTGTGATAATAAGTTAGTTGGAGAATTGACTTCATATCCTTTAAAAATTTTTAATTATATATGTATAAATTAAAGCACAAAATCTTCATCAGAGTTACTAATTACCACTAATAGGGAGAAAGAATGTAGCCCTTAGGGCGCCTGGGTGGCTCAGTTGGTTAAGCGACTGCCTTCGGCTCAGGTCATGATCCTGGAGTCCCGGGATCGAGTCCCGCATCGGGCTCCCTGCTCGACAGGGAGTCTGCTTCTCCCTCTGACCCTCCCCCTCTCATGCTCTCTCTCTCTCTCTCATTCTCGCTCTCAAATAAATAAATAAAATCTTTAAAAAAAAAAAAAAAAAAAGAATGTAGCCCTTAGGGTAAGTTCATGTGAAATACAGCTTCCTTGAGTTAAAATGTAGAGCTCTAAAACCAGATCTTGTAGTGGTTTATTTTATAATCCATTAACAATTGAATAATTCAGAGTGTGTGTGTATGAGAGAGAGACACAGATAAAGAAATACCGTCACTAAACCACAGCTTTATGCTTTAGGAAACAGTTCGTTGACTTGCATTAGCTTTTTATTTTACATGTTATGTAGTGCATACATGTTTGTCATACTGTTTGTTACAAACTTTTCAGTGTGCTCTCTCCCTGGGATGTTGCAGAACCATAGTGTGCCTAAACCTGCTGTATCATTTATAGCTTTCAGGGTCGTGTAGAATCTATAACTTTTTTATTCTGTCAACTATTTCAGCAAAATAATGAATCTGTCTTTTTGTCTCTCCTTCCATTTGTTTGCCCCTAGGAAGTTACTGGGAAGAATAATGTTTGTTTATGAGACAAAATAGCATTGTTAAATTTTAGCAGAAACTGTGGGTTAGAGCCATTGGAGAAGCATCTCCTGTATGCTTGTAGACCTCCCTGAGTGCTTGAACGTTGCCAGATAGAGACAGCACATGAGGCGGTTATTTGTCACAAGCTGTCATTCTCTCCCTTTGTCTGTCTGTCTGTCCATTTCTCCTCCTACCCTCACCTTCTCTTAACTGCTTTTTCTTGCCCAAGTCATCGCTCTTCTAGTAACATTTAAAGACATTGTTACCTACTGGTAGAGGTATGATTGTTTAATTGTGATTTATACTGCATACTCAAAACTAATAGCCCTCCCTCCAACCGCCCAAACAAACAAACTGATTATACTGCTAGCAAGAATGGCTTCATAGCAATTTTTTTTGTTTGTTTGTTAAAGATTTTATTCATTTATTTGAGAGAGAGTGAGATAGAGCATGAGACGGGGGAGGGTCAGAGGGAGAAGCAGGCTCCCCGCCGAGCAGGGAGCCCGATGCGTGACTCGATCCCGGGACTCCAGGATCATGACCTGAGCCGAAGGCAGTCGCTTAACCAACTGAGCCACCCAGGCGCCCCTGGCTTCATAGCAATTTAATAAGTCCTTGGTTCATTCTCTCAGGAGAAAGTAGCTGAAATAAACAATTATTACTCAAGTAGTTTTGAAATGTTTCTTTGAATGATCAGTTTATTGTCAACAATTTTGTTTTAATTGTAGGTGAAGTTAAAATGAACTATTTGGGCAAACCATATGTAGCCATGGTTACCACATACCAAATGGCAGTTCTTCTTGCCTTTAACAACAGTGAAACCGTCAGCTATAAAGAGCTTCAGGACAGCACTCAAATGAACGAAAAGGAACTGACAAAAACAATCAAATCATTACTTGATGTGAAAATGATTAACCATGATTCAGAAAAGGTATGGGGTAGTATTTCAAGGAATTTAAGCATTATAAACATATCTTTTTCATGAGATGTTTGCAGTTTTTTAAAGTAAGGTTGTAATTCATAATGTCCTTTGTACTTTGGAAAGCACTTGAGTCAGCTAACAGTGCTGCAGGCTCCTTACACCTATGAGTGTAAGGAATCACAGAGAAGTTGGTACCTATGTGCCCTTTATAGTTTGATTTCATTTGTCCCATACTGTGACAGTGTACTGAAAATTGTGAAAGAATTGCCATCAGGTGGATTCTGGTTATTTGAGGTTAAAAACTGTAGTGTATTTTTTTTTTCATGTGTTTAATTGATATTTATTTAATTACATGGTTCTGTAATAGGAAATGACCACCTATTGATACTATTTGTATGCATATTTGGCTTGTGTGACCATCCTAAATGCTCTCAGTCTCCTGTCCCTTCATTCCAGGATTCAACTAATAACCACCATATAGTTGTACTATCTGTCACAAGAATAACAAGCCAGTAATATACTTCTTTTCTTTTTAGATTTTTTTCCTAGTAACAAATTTTTGTTATTGTTACAGTATATCTTGGATATTTAAGTGGTTCAAAAGCAACAGATGTGGGTTAAATCTAATTCAGATTGTGCCTATAAGAAAAAATTCTTGTAAATGAGGTATCATTTTTATTTTGGTGAAGTTAATAACCTGCTATTTCTGTCATCAGTTCATTTAATTGATGATATATTTTTTTAAGATTTATTTATTTGAGAGGCGGTGGGAGGGGTAGAGGGAAAAAAGAATCCTAAGCAGACTCCCGACTGAGTGCAAAGCCCAACGTGGGGCTTGATCTCATGACTCTGAGATCATGACCTGAGCTGAAACCAAGAGTCACATGCTTAATTGTGCCATCCAGGCACCCCTAATTGATGATATTTTGTAGCCTGTAATTGAATAGCTTTAAATGGCATATATTCTGAAATTCAAATGAAGCTTTTCTTAATACTGAGACATGATTGATTTTTCTGACTTCAGAATCCTAACAAAATACTAAATTCTTAATATTAAGATTTTAATTAAGTCAGTTAATTAATTGTAAGTTAAGCATGAATTTTTTAAAACCTAAAGTTTAAGTTTAAATTTGTAAGCTAAATTTTAAGGACTTAAGAAGTTGTATAGTTTTCTAAAATGTATTACTTTTGCTGCTCAGGAATGTACAAAATATAGTTTGCTTGTTTGCACATTAAATTTTAATTATGAATCTGACGTTCCTTAGCAGAACTTCTTAGCCTAGTATTGAGAATGAGTTCATTTGCCAAGTGCTTTTTGATCCTGCTGATGAGAAGACTCACTGTATGATCAGAATGGCTTTTTTAAGCCTGATAGAGAAGTTATGAATATAAAAATTGGCTTAACTTTCACTTGAGAAAAGGCCACTTGCTTTAGGTAGACTGAATAAAACATGAGTTCAAGGGTAGACTTCATCAGAACCACACTGGGGTCATGTGTGCCACTGGAAACTACTTGCTTCTGTCGTCTATAAATTAAATTTATAATCTGTATTTTGTTATTGCAACACTGTTTTTTAAACAATTTTTTTTAAGATTTTATTTATTTGTTTGACATAGAGACAGCGAGAGAGAGAACACAAGTAGGGGGAGTGGGAGAGGGAGAAGCAGGCTTCCCACTGAGCATGGAGCCTGATGCGGGGCTTGATCCCAGGACACTGGGATCATGACCTGAGCCGAAGGCAAATGCTTAACCGACTGAGCCACCCAGGTGTCCCATGTTATTGCAACACTTTAAAAGACATTTGGTTGCTCACTTTTTCAAAATGGGGTGATAGAAAAACTCTGAGAAGAGTAGTTATAGTTGGGCCAGGAAATAGCTTATTTCTAAATCTAACCAGATTAAAATTCAAGTGTAAAATTAGAAAAGAATTGTTTTTTGCTTCTTTCTTTCTTTGACAGAAGACAGGTACTTTTAAATAATCTTTATAATGTAAAATGATGAGAGTTTAAGTCTTCTTTGGTCATTTAATTTTATGGCATATTATTTGCACAACTCTTATTTAATGATTTTACTTTTTATAAGTATAAATGAATTATTTTTAATTGTAGGAAGACATTGATGCAGAATCTTCATTTTCATTAAATATGAACTTTAGCAGTAAAAGAACAAAATTTAAAATTACTACATCAATGCAGAAAGACACACCACAGGTGAGTGATTTTTAATGTCATTTCTTTTGGAAATATTTAAGCATTGAACTTGACAAGTGGTAACTGAGATAATGCAAAACTTTGCACATCAAAATTAATAATGTGATACATTTTTTTCTGGTTTATTCTCTGAATTTATGAATCTTGCAAACAAAACTGCTGCCAGTATTTTAGATTATAAAAATAATAATATAATGGGTGTCTAAGGAAAATGGTGTTGCAATATAGTCATATTTGCTTTTAGACTATATTAAAATGCAGAGCGTTGCTTGCATTCTTCACAAAAATTCCTACCTTGAATAGTAATATAATCTCTCACATTTTTCATTTGTAAAATAAGGAAAAGCTTTATAACATTTTCATTCAAAGAAAAGTTGTTAGAAATATTTCTCAAAATTTCATTGGCAATTGAACTACTTGGGATCTTGTTGATACTCAAAGTGTGATCTAATAGGTCTGGAGTGCGGTTCAAACTACCAGATGAGCTGGTTTGCAAGGTGAATATCTGCTGTTGATTCTTTTAAATCACTAATGATTATTGCTTTGTTATGGGATAGCCTGATAATGTCTCTTAAGTTTCTTGATTACCTTCTATGTGTCACCCTATCCTTGGGCATGGGGCAGGATGTAAAGTTATATAAGATGTTAGGCCCTCTCCAGGAATTACTCACCCATGGGGAGACCGATGTTAGTTAATTGCTAATTAAATTTGAACCCTAAAATGTTTGCGATCCCATTTTTCTCTGGAGTAATGAATAATAATTTGTAATATTTGGATTATATTTTATCTTTTATTTATTTTTTTAAAGATATTTATTTATTTGAGGGGAGAGGGGCAGAGGGAGAGCGAGAGAGAATCTCAAGCAGAAGTCTTGAAAATTACTGCTCTATGTCATTTAAGTTCTACTTTATTGCCTGTTTACATTAAATACATTTTACAATAGTGTTAATATTTTTAATAACCTTCCAACTTTAACCCAAGAAATTATAAATAATTGACTGTAGGTATTCGTTTGGTAATGGTTATGTGATAATGGGCGCATGATAACTGTATAATTTGATGCTCGGTATTGATTGGAAATTTATTAAACTCACTGATAAAATGAATTATGAAAGGTTCAGTGACTTAATGTCTCATTTAATTTTTTTTCCCCCTGTGAAACAGGAAATGGAGCAGACTAGAAGTGCTGTAGATGAGGACCGGAAAATGTATCTCCAGGCTGCTATAGTTCGTATCATGAAAGCACGAAAAGTACTTCGTCATAATGCCCTTATTCAAGAGGTAAAAGGAGGAGAAGCCCTCAAGGCTTTTTGGGGTAACGGGTATTATCAATGAATGGATTAGGAATGTTTCTTTGTCAAAATGATATATAAATAATAGGATTCCCAAATAGCGTATAGAAATGCCTCATTACTTAATGAAAACAGTTACTCACTTATAATTTCAGTATTAAATTCAGGTTTGCTTTGGCTTAGATTTAGAGGTCTAATGTTCACCAGTATTTTGAGCCTTCTGTCCAGTTATTGAAGGAAATTGATGATATCAAATATTCATTCCATAAATATATGAGTGTCTACATGTGATAGAGTGTTGTGCTAGTCATTAGGGATGTGATGCAGAGCAACCCAAGATGTGGTTCCTGCCCTTTCGGAGTTCACCTTCTAGTGGGGAAGAAATACATTATTGAAATAGTATGCAAGCAAAATATAAAATTACATTAACATGCACTGGGAAAAGAGCTACAGTAGTATGAGAATGTACACAAAAGTACTGACTTAGGGGATGTTGGGGAAAGCTTTCTTGAGAAAGTGTTAGTTCAGCTAGGACTTGGAAGGTGAGTGGAGTTTAAATAGAAGCTGGGGAGTGTGGATGCGTATTTAGATAGATGAATTAATTTATAGTTATGTATAAATATTATTGGATTTTGCTATATCTGTGTTCTGCTTTGTAATTCCTTCACAACAGAAACATTAGGCTTTTTCCTTATTTTGCATTAAATTTTTTTTCATCACCATTGATCTAATTGTTTCCTCTCTCCTTGTACACTGCCGTCTGAGCTTAAAAAATTTAATAATGTTCATGGCATTCACTTGCTTGATGTATCACATCCATCCATTTAGAATGATTTTATTCATTTTAATTAATATGATTTCATAACTACTTTAAGTATACTTTTCCCATATGGATTAGGTCTGTTTGATGGAACCTCAGTATATTTGAGGCGCTTCACAGCTGATTGGTTAAAAGTAATTATTTATAGCTGACTAATTAGCAGTAGTTTGACATCCATGTCTCTCTCACACAGGTGATTAGCCAGTCAAGAGCTAGGTTTAATCCTAGTATCAGCATGATTAAGAAGTGTATTGAAGTTCTGATAGACAAACAGTACATCGAACGCAGCCAAGCGTCAGCAGATGAATACAGTTACGTAGCGTGATGTCGCTCTCCTCTAGTGTGGGTGTGAGAAGATCATTGCCATCACCATTTGGTGTGTTCCTGTGGGAAAAAGCAGGCCTGTGCCTCCATAATTTGGTCATTTGGCAGCCCCTGTTTTTCTGCTGTTTACAACATCACCAGTGCCACGTCATGAGCATCAGAGAAAATGCCTAGAGATATTTCAAGCTCATGTCATTATGACATTTCTTAAAACTTTATTAAAAGAATGAGTGAAGTATTGCTGAAATGTGGAAATTTGGTTGGGTACCATGCTTTTTCTCCCTTCACGTTTGCAGTTGATGTGTTTTTTTTTTAATGTATCTTAAAGGACAAAAAATAAAAAACTTAAATATTGTAATATGACAGATAACCTAATAATTGTATCTACATTAAAATGACAAACATGATAATGCTGCTTGTCAAATAAAAAAAATAAAGAAATAGAATGCCTTTTTTTATGTGGATGATCACACATAATAGTATATATATATAAATGTTCATGAGTCATCAAAGCAGCTAATGCAGTTTTAGTTGCATTTTTATCCAAATGGTTTAATTCCCTTTTACTCCTACTTAAGTCCTACATGAAAAATGTCTAGATTATTGTTCTTGAATGCTTAATAATGCATTCAACATAAAGAATGTTTTATTTTTATGGATTGGAACTGTGTTGGATTATGAGCATTTTGAATGTTGAGGATTTAATTCTATCAGGAGTTTCTGGTGATATGCTTACACCACAGAAATAAAGAACGAGGAGAATATGTGGTGGCCTCAAGTCTGGCATAGAAAGAGTTTCTCATTCAAAAGTTGTCTTCTATTTTCATAATACATTAATTCTAATATAGACAAATACCCCAACTCTCTTACCTCCCCTTCTACCTTTCTCTGAGTTATAGGAGATCCTGTGATACCAGTGTATTCTTTCCATTCTCCTACCTATATATTACCCTTACACACCCTAACATTTTGACACTAGATTCACTCTCACAAGTCATAGGTGTGCTTAGCAGTGCATAACCTAAATACCTTTTTTTTGTCTGTATGGTGCATTATGCCCAGGTGCCACTTACATATGGACATGAAATTCCACTATTTTGTTTATTCTATATATATTAACAGCAGTATTAGAATATTCTGGTCTATTGTATTATCTGTCTACTCCACCACCACTACGATACACATAATGTAATTTTTTTAAGCTGGAATATTTTAATGCATATCCCACATGAATCATTACTTACAATACTTCAATTTATGTCTCTGACCGATAAAATCTTTTTTAAAAACAACAAAAACACAACTATAATGGCATTATTATACCTAACAAACAATAATTACTTAGTATCATCTAATATGTGGTCCATACTCAAATTCATTGCAAAATGGCTTCTACAGTTGGTTTGTTTGATTGCACTTTTTCTGACTCATGTCTCTTTAAGAGTTGAAAAAAATCTACTGAGCTTCCAATGACTTACTTATATACTGTATTTCTCATTTTACCTTTCTTCCTAGAGAGGAAGTAATGACAAACCATATTAATATTGTACATTCACTGTCAAAAAACAAACCTTTGTTTTGATAACTTGTTGATAAAGTTTCCAAATTGATTCCTTTTTTTAAGTATTTATAAATGTTAAATTAAGTCTTATCCTGATATCTAAATTGTCAAGAAAATATATTGAAAAATGGACAAAATACTTGTGCTGAGGTCTACAGAAATGACTGGCAAGAGTTTTCTTCACATCTTTTTCTCATTTTACCTGAAAGGAAACATTAAAGATATGCTTGTGTGTGAGGAAGAAGAGGCCAGACACATTTGACCAAGTCTCCATCCGAAAGGGAGCAGTGTTTCAAATGAATTCTAGCACACACCTTCTGCTGAGGAGAATGAAGGGAGGGTTGCAGTCTGGTCAAGTTAGGTCAAGCATTTGAAGTCATTACTGCAGAAGACCCTGGCACACGGTCCAGAGCACTAACCTAGCAGGCCCTGTGGGCAGAGGGGGTCAGAGCTACAAAAGGGAAAGAAGAGGAAGGAGAGGAAAGGCTTCTCTGTGCTTGATCTTGGAACAAAAATAATGTGAGCAGAACTTTCAGAAGCTTTTAAAAAATTATTACTAATACTGAGATAGTTAACACAGTGAGTCAGTGATAACCTTTTTCAGCCAGACAGCATGCAACTTTTGTTCACATTCTATCCTCTTTGAAACCGGATTATTTTAATTGCTGCTGTAGGTTTATTCTAGGGGTTTAGTCCAAGATTTTATGACAGTTTGCTTTACTATAAACAAGAGAAGAGATCCTTCTGGGGTTTGTGTTTTGCTTTATTTATAACTTACTACCTTTATAGGATTTTATAACCTGTATATGCTACAATGCTATAAAGTTTCTGTTAATTTTTTTAACCTTTACTGAGTACAGACTGTGACTGGTGCTTCCTCATATGTTATTTTGTTTGAACTTCAGATAATCCTGTTAACCAGGCAATGCTCCTCTCTCCTAGATGAGGAAACTAAATCGGGTTTTCCAGGAGTCATTGCCAGAAACTGCAGAACCTGAATTTAAATCCCAGTCAAAATTGTGGACCTAATAAATACAGTCTCTCTCTCTTTCCTTCTTTCTCTTTCTCTCTCTCTATATATATAAAATAGTCTATAAGATAGAAATAACTTCAGTTTTTACATAAAGAATAGTTTTTCCTGACTTTAAAGAATAAAAATTTGTTTCTAGGTGATTTGTGAGAATCAACGCTTCATATTTTAGTTTCTCAAGATACTTATTTAAGAAGTATATATACATTGTTAAACAACTTGGCTTATAGCTGATTTGTGGCAAAGGGTACTTGTAAATTTAATATTTTACATTCACATGTACAGCTATAGAACATTTCAAGTATATATACTTAATGCAAACGTGTGTTCAGTTAAAATTTCTCCAACTATGTAGTAGCAATAGATAATTTATTAAGCTCTTAATTTTGGTTCCTAGTACACATTATTGGTTGAGCAAGGTCAAAGTAAAGATGTGAACTTTTAAAGTACTAGTCCTAAGGGCAGTTGTACATAGACTGTAACTAAATGAGTAGAAATAATATGGAGAGGCCCACTGGTTGAAGTTCATGAAGCATATCTAAAGCTGAAGCAATTAAATTAGGCAATTCTTATGTGAGATATACTACCCCAAGGGCTAGAATTCATTAAAGGTAGGATTCACTGATGGGGAGAAAAGTCCCTTTCATATATAGTGACTATACAATACAGGAAATTCTAAGGATCTTTCCTTCCCCTGCTCTCCATCCATAGTTCAGCCAATTCACCTTTCATCATCTAACAAATATTTACTGGTGCCAGGGTATTACGTGGACACAACCGTTGCAATGACAAGCAAAAAATATGGTCTGTGCCAACATGGAGCTTTTAGACTTGTAATGATCAGTCATAAATATGCCATTTCTAATGTAAGTACTTGTGAAGGAAAATCTTGGGCACCTTAAGGAGAGTTGCATAAGAGAAGTTAGAAGGGCAGAAAAAGCGGGAGAGCATATTCTAAATAGTAACAGTAAAGATCCTGAGGTAAGAAGCGGCAGCCGTAACCTAAGAACCAAAATACCTGTGTGGCTAAAATACGTGGCTTTTATGCAGGGGAATTACATTTGCCAAAAAAAAAAAAAAAAAAAAAAAAAGTTGGGTGGTAGATGCATGAATATTCATTTTATTATGCTTTGTAGTGTACTTATTTATATTTTTTCTTTACTGTTTGTGAACTATTTCAAAGTACTGTTTGCACATTTCGGTGGAGAATGGATAACCTGCATTAATGTGAAGAACAGAGTCTAGAGGGCTGATGTTGGATAGTGCGGATACTTACGAGACCATGGTGAGGTGAGCAGTTATGGTGGTGGTGGCAGCAGCCATCTCCAGGGTGATAAAGTAGATGAAGCTGACATGTCTTCATAATGGGTTGGGCTAGGGTGAATGAAAGGGATGAGTCAAAGATGGCTTGTAGATTTTTGGCTTTCACAACTAATGCAATTTAGTGAGTTAGAGGAAGCCTGGAACAGGACGAGGGTGGGGGAGGAACATAATGAGCTTGGCTATAACACCTTGCATCTGATGTGCTTTTGAGATAACCGAATGGAATAGGCAGTTGGTTCTACAGCCTCAAACCGCTTTGTAGAGGTTCCTGCCCTGAATCTTAGAAACCATTCCCTAGAGGCTTTTTGATCCATTCTCATTTCCTTGACTCTTTTGCCATGAATTTAACAATGTCCAGGTTAAATGTGGTTAGATTAAATAAATAAATATTTATTGCCAAAAAAAAATGTATTACATACATTTTGAATCATAAAAACAAGAATGAAAAGGGATGAGAATATTTAGAAGTTTGTACCCATTCTAGGATTTGTCTTTCTGTACTTTGGTGAGTGGTCTTTGTTATCCCACTTTGATAGGACACATTTATGGTAGTGGGGTAATTGAGCCAAAAGTTAATCTGCCATATGATTATTTCTTACATTCACAAATCCTTGTCAGCTACTGGTTACACACCGCCTTTGAGGGAGAAATATATCAGTGTTTTGCATTCTCCTGACAAGCTTAACGATACCATTTTTCAGCAAAAAGAAGGAACCTTTGGGAACCAACTTGTGGGAAAGAACTTGAGCATGAAAGGAAGGGTTTTTCCATTTTTATTATTTTTCTCCATTGTTAGTAGCTTACTATTTATACTTACGGTAGTTGAAGAATTACAGCTTGTGTTGAAGTAAGCAGTCCTGAGAGCAAGTAAAGTTAGTGGGTTAGCCAAATTGATATTTTCCTTGGAAGAACTTTGGTGTTGTAGGGAAATGAAAAATTTCTGGTTTTATCAACTAGCTCATGAGACTACCCCTAACACTGCATTCAGTCATCTGCTGAGAGCCTCAACTTCTTAAAGTGGGTGGGTTTTACCTATTAGTTTGCCTCTTAGGGAAGAAAGGACAGACATGATAAGCAAAGATCTTTTTTTTTTTAATTTTTTATTATTATGTTAATCGCCATACATTACATCATTAGTTTTTG